TCTCTCTCTCTCTCTCTCTCTGTCTCTCTCTCTTCCTTCTGTATAAAGCATCCGTATTGCCAGCCTCCCTGCCCCTGTCTGCGTCTCTCCCTCCCCCTACTTTCTCCCCCTCCCCATTCCCTCATCCAGCCCGTTCTCCGTCCTTTGTAACATCATCATCAGCCCCCCGACCCCTAAAATGTGACCCCTCCGAAAATTCTATTAAATGTCCTAATTTCTATGAATTAACTATGATAACTTTAAAAGATTCTGATCATCGTCGTCGCCATCAAAATCTGCTATAGAATCATGAATTTGGCTGTAAAAACCAGCAAAACTGCTCAAAAAAATAATAATTTTCGCAGACGGTCCGAAAATTGACGTCTTTAACCTCTCCTGGAATCTACGTTTAAAACTACAAACTACAAAATTCTCGTGATTCTACGCTTTTTCGACTTTTCGACGATTTTCCCCCGATTGTTGGGAGTATTTGCTCTCGAAAATTGCGCTACAGTCTTCAAACGACAGACTACAAACTACAAAATACAAAATCAGCTCAATTCTACTATGTTTCTACGGCAGACCGTCAACTACAAACTACGAAATGCCCGCTATTCGAGGCTTTTCTACTTTTTCTAAACGAAAAACTCAATTTTAACCGAATTTTCTGGCTATTAATGATGGTAGTGCACCTTAAATTACTGTATTCCGTTGCGTAATCGATTCTACATGAATTTCGACGGCAAAATGAGGCGAGTAACACCTATTAAGCTATAATTGAACGACGAAAGCACCGTTTCTGGTCAAATACGATTTTTTTTTCTAAGTTTCTATAGCCAAAAAGGGAAAAGAACATCCATAATTTCACGGTTTTTAAACTTTAAAATTTAACGAATTCTACTCTACAAACTAAATTACCGATATTTAAGGGTATTTTTAGGTCTAAAAACGCGCATTTTTCAGTAAATTCCGCAAAGCTACAAGATGCACCAAAGTACGCCTGGCGGACACACGGAAAATTCGGAATTTTGACGACGACGACGACGATACGAGGATGATGATCAAAAATGGAAAAACACGACCAAGTCAACGAAATTCTACAGTAAGACCCGACAAAATTTCGATTTTAAACTTTTAAAGCAATTTTTTTTAACTACTGCAATTAAATGCTGGTGCTAAATTCCCATCTACCAGCCCTTTTTAAAAACCCCAGTTTTACGCCAGCTAGCAAATAAAAAATAAAAAGTAAAAATTACAAATTTCAATTACCGTAATCCGGAGCTAAATTCGGGGGTGCATTTTAGGGCCAATTGGGCAATATTTGCTAGCTAGGCGATTTTGGGGTGTCTTCCAAATGCCAAAAAAAGCCCGGTGACGCCTTCATAAATAAGGCGAATCGTGGTTAGGCATGTTACAAACAATCTTTGTTTTATGAAATTTTATTCTATTCAATTGTTAGTTCTTATTTTAGCCATTTGTATCTGTATTCCGACTTTTAAATTTAATAATTTTTAAAATCTAGTTAAAACTTTTTATGAGTTGTATTCTAACCCTGCCAAATTCTTTGTGATTGGGGAAAGCATTGCGCCATGAAAATCTCAGGCGAAAAATCCCGGAAAAATCCGATTCCTCATTGAAAATCGCAATTTTTCGGGTATCCGATTTTGAAAATGAATGGATTACGACAGGGAAATCCCTCGAAAAAATCCGAAAAGCGGGCTAGAGCTACAGTTTCTAAAAAAAATTGCATGCTGTTTGCTACGCTATTTTAAGCGAATCCATTACGCCATGAAAATCGGGTCGAAAACCCACGAAAAACGGGCTAAACCGTAAAAGTTGAAAATACCGAAAAATGCAAAAAAAAAGGCAAAAAAAACCCGAGAATGCCGCTGCAGCCGTCCTCAAAATAGATCCGGATATTGAAATTAAATCGCCGAATTCGTGGCAATAACTCAGCTCGATGTTTTGAGGAAAAGAAAGCCGCCAAAATCTGATAAAATCACTGGATCAAAACCTATGTATTAAGTCGAGTCGAAAATTCAGCAACATTCCAGCCGCCAACAATTTTTATATCGATTGATCGATTTAAAAGTCTAAAAATTTAGTTAAATCCAAAAACGGGCCAGCAGCAAAGCGAAAAGCGGTTAATTTCAAATTAAATTCTGCTAAATAAAAAATAAAAAAATAAAACCTAGATAGAAACCGAAAAATACAACATTTCTTCCAAAAATTCATCGAAGAAATAAAAAATCTGGCCAATTCCATGCAAAAAAATTTAAGCTACTCGAACGACTTCTCGTTATTTGACAGCTTCGTAAATGAGGGAGCACTCTAATTTTTATTAGAATTAAAAAAGCCCAGGAAAGCTGAGCTAAAAGACGAAAAATTTAAACTAAAAACCTGCAAAAGCTAGAGTTTTAATAAAACTAAAATTAGAAATCCATCGTGCTGCCAGCCCACAAAGTCACAAAGAATGCAACACAGTGGGCTGTGGTGAAATTTTCTAAAAATTATCGAAAAATGCATTACGACATGGAAGTCGGTGTCGGGAAAACGAAGAAGCTCGGCCGTTTTGAGTCCAATTGCTCGCAAAAACCTTGGAAGCAATTTCAAAAAAGCCACTCACTTTCAAAGAAGCCTGTGCATCCATAGAACGCGTTACGCCATCGAAATCGGCGGTGAAAGTTTATGCAAACGCGCCGCAAAAATCCGGGGACACAGAAAAATACGGGAAATCAGGGCAAAACCTTTTAGGGGCTACTCTCAATCACCACCGATGCGATTTGGCTTGTCTGATTTTATTAGAAGTAAAAATACGCTCCGGAGACCGTCCTAAAAGACGAGAAACGGACCTGAAAAATTCCGCGCAAAATATCGAAACCTAAAAATTTGTAAAAATCGCCGCGGGACCGCGAAGCGGGGAAATTGGGCCGGGCGCGGGACCATTGGCTCTGTCAATCCAGCTGGGATTCTGACGGGAAAACGCTATTAAATTCCATATAAATTAAAAATTACAAAGATCAATAAATTAAGTCAAAACGGGGGAATTTATAAAAAAACAACAAGCTAATCTCTCCATATTCCCTAAATATTGGGGGTACAAAGAATATTAAAAAGTTTAAAAACTCAGAAAGTTTCACAAAAAAATCTAAAAACAAGGTGGTCATTCCTCCATGTGGAAAGAACCAGTGAGCTTGAAAATCCGGAGCATCGAACAGACCAGATAAACTATAAATCAGCGGTCTACTACATTCCACACATACCAGTCGGGTGAATACTACGGCAAAATACAAAATGACGATTCGCTTACGAGATACCTGCGCCAAAGAAGGCCAGGAATCATCTTGTTAAAGCGGAAAGTTTTGGCCCTAAATCTACACAATATGGAGCGGCTCGATCATTTTTATCAATACCTATATTGTAATACCTAAATAACGGTAAAAAACGTTTAAAAGTAGCAAGATCGAAACAAGATATACAAAACACCCCGTAATTTGATGGGATAAAGCGTTTCCGGGTGGCCGACTTTATAGCGACACACCTGTCCATGTACCCACAGTTCTGGGGATACATAAAAAATTAATCAGATCCGGGCTCACAAAAACTTTGGAAAAAATTAAAAAAGCCGAAAAATATGGTCAAAAATCCGAATAAACTACACCGAATCCTGGTGGACGGTCTAATAGTGATAAAAAGCGAGAGCCAAGTGCTCAACACCTTGAACAAAAGGGACTGCACCGCTCAAATGATCCCAAAGCCCTGCGATCTTTTAACCGGAAACCCGAAAGGAGAACATGAGAATAGCCGTAGTTGAAGCGATGCACAACCACGCTAGAAACTATCAGGAATTCGCAGAAAATACATGAAAAAAAATCACTATTTCGCCCGAAATCAAGGCAACTACATTAGGTGCTGGAAAGAACCAGCGAGCTGAAAAATCCGGACCAGCGAACAGACCGGATAAATTATAAATCAGCGATCTACTACATTCCGCACATGCCGGTCGGGTGAATACTACGGCAAAATACAAAATGACGATACGCTTACGCGATACGTGCGCCAAAAAAAGGCTAGGAACAAGCTTTTTAGAGGGGAAAATTTTGGCCCAAATGGCAAAATTTTATTCGGATAATTTGGAACGGCAAAAAGCACCGGTCTCGGTCCAGAATTTAGAAAAAGTCCACGACGTCTTCTCAATAGGCAGATTCAACCTCAATTAAAAAGGGTTGAATCCGACACGTTGAAGGGGTTCGGAGGGGAAGAACTGCCCTCTTTTAGGGCAGAATTCCCAAAATTCTCAAATTATTCAAATTTACATAGCGGATATCATAATTTGGGACGGATTGTTTCTGGCCGAGGTTCTCTGGCTTCGACGGAGTCAGCACTAAAAGTCATCAAAAAAATCCCAGAAGTTTAACAATAACTAAAAAAAATTGTTGTGCCCTCCTGGACGCCTGAAATGCAGCGATTCTAGGAATAAAATGGACGTTTTCGAGCCTAAAAACCATCAAAAAAAAAGAGAAATTCGTCAATAAAATTAAAATTAAATAAAAATGCCTTTTTCGGGCTCGAAAAATCCCGAGGAGATGGAGAAAACCACAGCGTACATTAAAAAAGCACCTAAAACGAAACTGATAACAAAATCAGGAATCTGATCGCTCGCAAATGACTATAATAGAATGGACATTGGAAGTGAGAAGTGGAAAAAAATTTTCTAAATCTGCGGAAAATTTTACAGAATCAATTCGAACTTGAGGCTAAAAGCGCGTAGAAGCTAGTACGTTACACGTCAAATTAAAAACAAACAATCATAGATTTTAAAGCAATTAAAAGTGCTCCAAAAAACCAACGCGCCGAAATGTGCCCCGAAGACGTGAACTGATTTAATAAATCTAAATAAGTATTTTAAAGTGCTGATTTTCGCCATCAACCGCCCGAACATGATGGATTCGGTATTAGCCGGAGGCATGAAGATGAACGAGCTTTTGCTGGCGAAAACACTGTACGCAATGTGCAGCCGATGAACAGCGAGCTCGCGGAGGTCAGCGCAAGGCTACGCGTGGCGAATAAACCGACATTCCTCAAATTATTCAAATTTACGTCCCCAAAACCCCGAGCTACAAACTACAACCGAATTTAGCCAGTACAAACTAACAAACCGGCCACAAAAATGAGCACTACTTCCTCCGAGATCGACTGTATCTCGACGGTTTAAAAGAGTGTGAAACAGACGTGAAAATGGCAAATTTTCGGCAAGAAAATTTGCTATAAATGCAATATAAATTCGAGGTCCCTGCACAATTCTCAACATGGTGCATCGGTCTCTACGGAAAAAAGGAGGGTGAAAAGCGACATAATATAAAAATTAACTATTGGGCCCCAAAATGCAACTGCGCGGACGTAATGCCAACCTTCGCAAAAGCAAAAATTATTAAAGCTATAAAATTTACAAAACTCTCAAATATCTTCCAACTATATTGGATCAACGCCAAAAACAAATCGGGAAGTCTGTATACCTTTAAAATGATAAAAAAACGCACTGAAAACACCCTAAAATCAGAAAAATGAAACAAAATTCGCGTCCAGCATTTTGTAGATTATTTAAACCACCGAGAAATTAGAATTTTACCAACGCGCATAACACGTTTTTAACCAGTTAATTCTATAAAAAAATTAAACCTCTTTAAAAACCAGTTCTTGGCGGACAAAAATAAGCCAAAATCGCCAGCACGGAAAAATATCTGCAAGCGATCTAATGGAAAGGAATGGACCCGATCGGCAAAAAATTCAACAGTAATATTTTCATAAAAACAATATACAAAAAATATTCGTGTCAGAATTTCCGCTGCGATGACAGCGTGGTATTCCTGAGCCGGGGAGAAGCAGAGAAATGCGCATAATACCCGTTTTTGGTCGATGGAATCAAAAATAGGAAAAAATAGGAAGAAAAAGCTTGGCAGATCTCTCTAAAACAACCATATCGCATACGGGGATGATTTCAAAGCTCTAGTCTTCACGTTACTATAAAAAACGGGCTTACGTTGCGCTACGCTCAATACGTCTACAGGAAAGCGAAAGAATGAGAAAGGATTTAAAAAAAATCAATGTATAAAAAATAATTGTGAGTTTTTAAAGCAATAGATCGGCTGAGCTTCACGTCACAAGATATTTCCGGAAATCGGCTGGGACGAACTATTTTTTCGAGTCGAAAAGAAGAAAGAAAATTGGCCAGCCAAAGAATAGGGCCAAAAACGCAGGATACACTCCAACCTCCTGTGCTTTAAAAATTAAAGATACGAGCAGGTTTTTAAGGTTTTTAAACACACTAGATAATTGCTTAATGGAAAGAGAGAGAGAGAGAGAGAGAGCGAGAGAGAGGGAGAGAGAGATCAATCAAAATCTAAATCGGAGCTGCCCAAATAGGCAAGGCCATGTTAAAATTATTTTTCAAAAAATCGGTTAGAAATACAGTCGGAACAACTTTAATGGGAAAAAATAGGATACTGGAAACGAAAAAAGGCGAGTTATCCCCAGGGATTACCGAAACAAACGGATATCACAAGCAAAACGCTGATTGAGCGCAATGGTAAATTTGCAATAAAAAAGCTATCCCGGCAAATAGGAAATTGTTCCTAACAATAGCCTATTTCCCGCCGGCAAGGCCAAGTTACGAAACGTCATCTGAAAAAAAGGAAATTTCAAAATTTAAATCAAGTAAGAAAAGGTATAAAACATTGTCTTATCGATACACCTACAAATATACATAAAATCTGGCGCCCTCCAGCCGCTTTCCGTGAATTTTATGGTGGTGAACAACGCGAAGAAATGATCGATTATATCGACCAAAAAAGGAGAATAAACCGTCAATCTGAAAAAAATTGGAAAATTTCCTGAATTTCTTGGCTCCTGGCAACGGCTATGGAACCGTCCATTTGGACCCCAACAGCTACGTTCCGTGAATTTTATGGTGGTTAACAACGAGGAAAAAAAACGGTTTATAAACCGAATATATCGTTAATAACAGCTATAAAACGTCAAATTTAAAAATATCAAATTTTTTTAACGAATGGTATTTCACAAACGAGCACTTTGAGGCCGATGGGATCCCTACAACCGGAGAAAAGCCTAAAATACCGGAAAATGGCTTGATTTAAAATCAAGATACATTCAAATACCACGAAATTAAACACTAGACAAGCGCTTGCGGGCACTAATGCCAGAATTGGTTGATCGTGAAATTTTCTAGGAATCAGCTCAGGAAACTCCGATTTGAAATTCGATACTAAAAGTTGAAAAAAAAACGCTTTAAACCATATAAAACAAGCCTAAAACCATAATTAAAAAGCCCGGAAATCAATTGGAAGTCAAGATGGGAGAAGAAAAGGAAAAGTAACCACATGCTATTTGACGAACAGGCCGAAAGCCCTTGGCTAGAAAAACTTCGGCGACCCAATGTCTGATTGAAGCATTTTTAAAGAAAAATTGAGGGTCCCAGAAACCCAGAAAATCGCAAATTTTCAAGAAAAAAGAAGAAAATGTGCTTGATCATAAACATAGCCCAGATGTACGGCGAATTAAAACGCAACAAAAATTAAACTCCTTAACGCCAAGGCAAATACGCGATCGGAAAAGTGGGAAAAGAGAAAAATCGCTTCAAATTAGCGATGGAGCCAGCGTGAATACGGGCAATTCCGGTGATTCAGTTGGAAAACCGGAATCTGCACCAAGTGCCTAATCAGTTCTGATCGAGAAATGGTCTCAAAAAGTGAAGAAAAAGCTTCTAAATCTACTCCTAAATGGTCATAAAAAATCTTCAAGTGCACGGGGGAGGTGGTACTTTCCACCGAGGTATGCGCTGCGAGCTCATTTTAAGAAAACTTTAAAGTTACAATAAAAGAGACTAAATCTCGGTTTCGTACAGAAGTTGATGGTGGAGAGAGAGAGAGAGAGAGAGAGAGAGAGAGAGAGAGAGAAGACCTTAAAAGCGAAAAATGGAGGGTCTACCACCCGGAAAACCGCCAATTTTAAAAAACGGCTCGAAAAGGTGCTTGATCGTGTACGAAGGTACGCTACACACCGAATTAAAAAGCGATAAAAATGCAGCTCTTTAAAGCCAAGGCAAATAGGAAATCGGAAAAGTGGAAAAAGAGAAAAAATCGCTTAAAGTTAGCGATGGAGCCAGCGTGAATACGGGCAATCCAGCTAATTCAGTTGGACAACCGGAATCTGCACCAAATGCCTAATCAGTTCTGATCGAGAAATGGTGTCAAAAAGTGAAGAAAAAGCGCAATACTTTTCTAAAGCTCATAAAAAATATTAAAGTGAGTCGAGGTGGGCGGAACAGAAAAGTGCCCTGACCCAAACTGGTGTTTGAACATGGTAAATTTCCTCACATCGAGCACGTGGTTTATGGAGACGACCAAAGAGCAGCAAATGATTGCTCGTTTTGAAAAGATCGGAAATATGCCAACCGCGATATAATGTACACTGACGCCGTATTGGAATTCAATAAAAATCCTGAAGGGGGCTGTTACGACGGTTTACACCCAGCAATCTAGAGCAAGAAAATCCGTGGAAAATTCAGGAAAACTACGAACCAGGATTATTGGATGACTTCAAAAAATAGGACTAAAAATTTACAAGGAAAGGAAATATAGAAGAGATCTACAACAGAGCGCCAATTTAACCACTTTTTCTCCATAATTTTACTCTCTGCCACCAAAAATCCCCAATTTTTATCTCAATCTACGCGGGTGATTCTTGAATTGTGATGAAATAATTGTATGTATTTTTATGTAATAAAAATCTATTAAAAAACCCAGAGAAAAACGCGGAAGTACACGTCAAATTGTATAGTATTGCCCAATTGCACTAAAAAAGAGGCGAAAATCCCAATAAAAATAGCTATACAAATTTTTTAAAGCTGAAAGGTCTATTAAAAACATTTTTCCACCCACCAAGCAAATTTTTAGGCTTTAAAAATCGAACTAGAACTCGAAAAAAGCACCTTCATCGTTGACTTCATCCCCTCGAATAGCCACCGCGCGGTCGACGTCCGGATCGGCCGTGTTTAGCTGAAAAAAAGAGGATTAAACTTTTCAAAAAAAATGATAAAAGTACCTTCAAATCGGCAAAATAATCGGCAGAATTGGCCGGGGAGAGCGACCAGATGAGCTTCAGTTTTGGGAAGAGGCGAATGAGGGTGCAGAGCTGCTGGCGGATCTCACGGCAATGACGAGAAAGTTCGCCCTGAAAAAGAGACGTAGCAGAGATAATTTGCCGAAATTAATGGTGTGGCCCTGAATTACGGGGGGTTGGCTAGCAGCGGCAATTTGCGACGTGGCGCAAGCCATCAGAGAGCTTTTGTGGAAATCGCGTTATCGACTTGCATCGGGGTTACTGCTCAGATGTCAGCTAGCAGAGAGAATTTGAGGAAAAATTCATCCAGCCTAACAGAGAAAATCCCGAAATCGACGGCATGCTAGCAGTGATCATTTGAGTAGCCGAATTCAGAAAAAGGCGAGCTGACAGAGAGAATTTGAGGAAATCAGAGAGAATTTCGGATCCGGCGGCAAGCTAGCAGAGCTCATTTAGGAATCCGCGTCCGGAAAAGGGCATGCTAGCAGAGAAAATTTGCGGAAACCCATAAACTACCTGAAAGGGCCCTCCATTGACAATCTTCAGCTCGAACTTAGTGTTCGACTCGATCAGCAGATAGGCGGCCGCGTAGTTGGCCAGCATCTGGAAATAAAAAAGATTTTAAAGGGTCCGGGAAGTGAAGGGCCAGGCCACGCCCCTTTTCGAATGCTGGCAAACGACCAAAATCCAACCGAAATCGATTTTTCAGGTGTGGAATGGGGTTTTAACGTTTTAGAGGTAGGAAAACATAGGAAAAGCCAATTCCAGAAATGCCAGAAATTCCAGAAATTTCCAGAGTTTTGCCTTTCCCGGCCCTTTAAAAGCCGAACGGCTCGAACCTGTTCGGTCTGCTTGAAGACGCGGCCACTCTGCAGCGATTGCG